CAGTTCGTCTTCGCAACTCACCGAGCGGAGTACGCATATTGCCTGATCTACCTTGGAAAGATCGCCCAAAAGAAGCAGTTGACCAACGCGGCATTGCTAATAGAGACAGCAAGAAAACAATATTTGTTCATGGTGTTCATGAGCTTCTGCATTCTTCTGATCACGATGCGCAAACACATGACCGACAGCAGTGGTGCTGCATCCGCGAAGCACTCTCTGTTGACAATGTTATTGCCAAATCCCTGACAAGAGTTCCGTCATCACCTAACTACAAGGGCTGCGGTCCAAGGCTAATGAAAGTAATACTACACTCCGAGGGAATGACGCAAGTTCTGTTGGATAGCTGGTTAAAGTTTCGAGCTAGGCTGCCAACAGAGATCCGGCTAAAAGCAGCAGGCGAACGACCAAAAGTCGGAAGCAATTCAACGGAACTTGCAAACGCAGCAAATTCCTTATCTGCACAGTCCTGCGGAGAGACCAACACAACCGCGCCCACGGCACACAGGAGGACCGAGCACAGCACCAGTGAAACTTCTGTTCAGGAACGCTTAATAATGCCATGCAACACGACTGAAATACATAAACCAAAAAACGATTAATTGCCGGCCACCTAACGGCCGGCTTCAAAGCGAACACAAACTTGACATCTATCAATGAACTCCTAACAACAAAAGCCCTATCTTGCATGTATACAAACGCCCAAGGCCTTCTAAGCAAGTTGGCAGAACTTAGAGAACTCCATGCCTCACAACCGCGGGACCTCGTCATGATTACAGAGACATGGTTAAACCCTGAGATAACCGATTCTGAGATCAATTTACCCGGTATGTCACTGCTTCGGACCGATAGAACCGGAAGGGGGGGCGGTGTGATTCTTTATTATAATACAAACCTCCGATGTGAAGTTATCGACCACTCGGAAATCCGAGCTCCCGATTCGCTTTGGTGCCGCCTATGGTTGCGAAACAAGGACACATGCCTACTAGCCGTGATTTATCGCCCACCAAACTCAACTTCGGAAATGGACTCCAAACTGAACCACGTTTTCCAGTTTGCTTTGAACAAGTCCTACACCCACATTCTTATCGCGGGAGACTTTAACGTGCATGACATAGAAACGCCGGCAACCGACGGTATGCAGTTTAAAGCCTGCTTGCAAGAGCTTATTGCTAGCCACCCTCTTTACAACCACGTAACCTCTCCCACCAGATTTCGAACTGCTAACAAGCCGTCGATACTGGATCTTGTGCTCACTAACGAAGAACTCATGGTTAGCGGGATAGTTACAAGCACACCACTGGGTCGTAGTGATCATGTTACTCTACTCTTTGACTATATTTGCTATGCGGAGTACCCTGAAAAGGAGGAGGATAAAGTGCATACTGTCACACACTACAATGTGTTGTCTAAGCTTGTTAAGGATACATCTTGGACTTTCTTAACCGAATGCCCCCCAGATGTTGCCTGGGAAACATTTACAAGGACGTTTAGTACACTGGTAGCGCACGCATCAGAGCAGAAGTCCTTCCAACCTAAAAACAAGCGTAATTCATTTCTGAGGAGCAGGACACGTAAATGTATGTCCCGGAGGGATTTGGCATGGCGAGATCACCAGGACTGCCCGAATGCCGAAACCTGGACTGCATACGTGACCCATCGTAACTTCTGTGTGAAACTGATCCGCGAAGACAAGGTCACTCATCAGCAGAAGTTAATGAAGCGATTCTGCACGAATCGCAAACTCCTGTACAGGCACGTTAACGGCCTTCGAAAGGTAAAGCGAGGGGTTCCAGCACTAGTCACGGCTGATGGGTGCACGCGATCAGCAATGGAAGCAGCTGATCTCCTACGGCTTCATTACTCCCGAACTTTCCAGGAGGTAACGAGCACAAACATTCTCCTCATTTCTACTACTCCACCATCTGGTTTAGAAAACATCACCTTCACTGCGGAAGCTGTGTTGAAGAAGTTGTTATGCTTGCGTATCCACAGTTCTCCCGGAGCTGACAACATCCGACCAAAGGCTCTACAGGCAGTAGCTAGTGATCTAGCAGCACCACTGGCTATTTTCTATCAGCGATGTCTAGAGGAGAACCGTATTCCACCAGTATGGAAGCGAGGGGTCATCACTCCTATTCATAAAGGAGGTAGCCGCACTGATCCTGCCAACTACCGTCCAATAACACTACTTCCAGTACTATCCAAAGTGATGGAATCAATCATCGCAGATGCGCTGATGGAATACCTGGAAAGCCACAATTTAATAGCCCCAGAGCAACATGGCTTTCGTCAAAAGCATTCGTGTAATACTAACCTATTAATTGCACGTAATAGCTGGACTGAAGCTGTTGATGATGGAGTAGGGGTCGATGTCATCTACCTGGACTTTTCAAAAGCATTTGATCGCTTAAACCATCGCATTCTCCTTCACAAGCTTCGGAATTACGGCATTGGCGACCCAATCCTGAGTTGGATTGACAATTTTCTACAAGAACGACGGCTAGTGGTGAGAGTCCGAGAATCATTGTCTGATGCAATCGATGTGGCGTGCGGAGTACCACAAGGCTCGGTTCTTGGACCTCGTCTATTCTTGGTGTTCATTAACGATTTGGCGAGATCAATTACTTCCGATTTCCTATTTTTCGCTGATGATATCAAGATATGGCGAAGGATCAGAGGACCGGAAGACCATGAACGGCTCCAGTGCGATCTTAACACAGTGTCGAACTGGTCACTTCAAAACGCCCTACCGTTCAATGTAGACAAATGTCGCGTCGTACAATTACGCCATAGTCATAACTACACCTATTCACTTGGGACCAACGGACTGCAGAATAGCTCCCAGGAACGTGACCTGGGTGTGATCGTACAGAGCGACCTCAACTGTTCAAAACAGGCTGAGGTAGCTGCGAAAAGAGGCAACCAGCATGTCGGCATGCTGCGAAGAGCATTCGGGAGATTTGACCCATCAATCTTCCCAATGATGCACAATTCCTACGTGCGCCCGCATGTTGAATACGCTATCCAAGCTTGGCAACCTTGGTTGAAGCGTGACCTAGAAGCGATAGAGGCACCACAACGGAGAGCAACAAAGAATGTAAAGGGCCTGCGCTATCACTCTTACCACCGAAGGCTGAAGTTGCTGGGAATTTTCAGCGGGCGCTATCGAAGACTGCGCGGTGATCTCATATTAGCGTATCAAATATTGAGTGACCCCAACCACGTATGCCGCCATTTGCTGAAACTTAGCCACAACACGCAGCTCAGGGGTAACTGCTTAAAGTTGAAGGAACAATACAGCCGTCTAGAGTGTCGACGGAATTACTTTTCCCTTCGGGTTTGCAAACCTTGGAACGCACTCCCAGACTCAGTTGTATCCTCTCCTACCTTGGATGTTTTCAAAAAACGATTAGATGTTGCTCTTAGCTCCCAACATTTTGTTACCTAAACTCCCCTACTGTGGATTACGCCAAGGATGCATTTCAACAGGATTTATGTATCAAATGGACCTAAGTGAGCGACCATATTTTACTTTTCTCACTCCTTACCTCAATGATCACTGCACCCCAGTGTCTTTCTGAACGTTTACGCTCGATAATTTATTTTAATTTTACACTGATGTTACTTATCAAACTATTCATCTCGGCAGACGTTCGATAGATGACCCAGACATATTTTGATTTCATCATATTCACCTCAACCATCCTACGGGACGTGTCAAGCACTTGCTTTTATCCCGTGATAAATCATTGTTCATTGTTCATTGCACATAGTTGTGCGATCCGCGAGCAATTCCTTCCTCTGCATACAAGATTATTTGCAAATGAGCACTCAGTACTAACTTTCGCATCCATTACGACTTTGTTTACCCATCTTGACGCCTACAGTTTCGGATGTCACAAGGTATGGATCTAATTTATTAGCACACATTTTTGGCTTCAGTGAGGAGGAATGTTATTTCAGTCTTTTTACCTATACTTTAGTCACCATACTGTATTGATTAGAACAGGTGTACGCATAAATAAAACTTGATCAACTGCACTACATGAGTAAGGTTTAGTTCAGCTCTCTAATTCTTCTCAAAAATTCTGAGCACATTTGCTAAATTTCGTGGGTCACAATAACCGCTCTTCTGGCTTCTGACGTAAGGCCTACAACGAACATTTCTTGCTTAGTTACACCGCCTGAAGGTGTTTGTATAACTGTGTACAACATTTATACGCATTTAAGAGAAATTACAAATAGATAACTAGCTAGAAAATGTTCTTATGAGACTGCTAACTCTACAAATTTACGGCAAGTCTCAATAGTCTTCAAGGCTCCAATTTATGTCGAAGCAGACAACATTCAGTTCTGACGCACACACCATAAGCATCCCAAATGCTGTATATGAATTTGGTATTTGATTATGTATATCCTGGCTGACTTTCTTCCTGTCTGTGGCATTCAGATGTTGAACCATGAGAATGATTTAAACGACTGAAGCTACTACTTTCAAATAGTTCGCAGATCACCCATTTAACACAACTCCGCTCGCATCGCTTTTAAACCTGCACATAATCTCCTCGACTCGTAGTATTTCGAGCTTGTGTATTCATGACTTCTAAATGTGATACATTCATTTAAAGTTCAATCAACGCCAAGTTTGTTTGTATTCAACTTTATCACACTAATTTGATTACTCAATGGAAAGGAATATCTTAAATATACAATAAAAAGATGAGACACCAGTTATTCCACACCAGTTAGAGGTGTTGTTTAAGATATTTCCTGTCGTATTCAATATTCCTATCTAATCTAAACTGGTCAGTTGTCTTGTACCAAAAAACAACACAGACTATTGTTGTAACTTTAAGCTATTCAGCCCAATATGTAAGATGACAAGTGACACAACATAAATTATTTATATCTGCATTTTTTCAAAGGTAATTTGCTCGTTGTTGGATAAGTTTTCAAGATGTTATTCTGTCTTACAGAATAAGATAAAATACAATACATACCCAGTTAGACAGGCAAGTGCGGAAGCCAATAACGTGCAGTTTCCCACCGCATACGAAGTCCGTGTGACAATCATCTTGGAACACAATGGGCACTGGACAGACATAGGCCGATCCCGGAAGAACCGGACAAGGACGGGCTGTGTTACTACTGGTTGTCCTGCAAAAAAAGAATTGAAAGCTTCAGTGAGCTTACGAAAGTAAGAAAGGAATATTTAAATACAAAATCGCCTCTTGGGAAGTACACGTTAAAATAAGTTCGGGTTTTCATAGAGATCTGTGGTGAAACATCATTTTGCAGAGACCTACGTAATCCTAGGCCACCTCTTTTCATCCTGTGGTCTCGAAATCCTTCCTGATAAGATCCAGGCAATCAAGGACTTCCCAGCTCCAACTTCGTTCAGTCACCTCGGTCGATCTTTTTTTGGTCAACTACGACCAACGCTTCCTTCCGCACTGCGCTCAGCTCATGCAGCCTCTGACCGACCTACTCAGAAGGAATGAACGTAAGTTCTCTTTCTCTGACACAGCACCGGCAGCCTTCGCCGAGCTCAAGGATGCTATCTTCAACATAGTCCTCCTCGCTCATTCCGAATCGACTGTTCCCCTTTCTATTACGATTGATACCTCAGACGTCGCGGTAGGAGCCATCCTCCAGCAACACGTTGGTGGGCAATGTCAACCCCTTGGGTTCTTCTTCAAAAGTCTGCAGCCAACGGAATCTCGCTACAACACGTTTGGCAGAAAACTGCTCGTCATTTACCTGTCCATTCGTTACTTCCGGCGCACACTCAAAGGCCGCGCTTTCGCGCTCTACGCTGACCACACGCCCCTCATTTCCGCCTTCAACCCTTCTTGCGACAAATATTCACCACGGTAAACAAGACACCTAGACTTTGTCACGCAGTTCACTGCTGACATACGTCATGTCTCAGATGTCGACAATCCCGTTGCCGAGGCTCTCTCACGCCTCAACCTCACTCTCCAGTCTTTGCCTACCGTCGACGTTGCCGCCATGGCATCGTCTCAGGCTCAAGACGAAGACATACAGTGTACTCTTCAGTCCAATTCGCTGCCTGCGCAACGTGTTCCTGTCCAAACCCCGGAAGGAACCATTCTCTGTGACACTTCCACAGGATGTTCTAGACCCCTCTTGTCTGTCTCCTTCAGACGCACAGCCTTTGACGCACTTCACTCACTATCACATCCCGGTATCCGTGCATCTTTGAAACTGGTCACCGAACCTTTCGTTTGGCCATGCGTAAAGAAAGATGTTCGTACCTGGGCTCGCGCCTGTCTTCACTGCCAGCGTTCCAAAGTAAGTCGTTACACCCGCAGTCCTCTGGGTTCATTTCCTGCCCCGGACTCTCGGTTCTCACATGTACACTTAGAATTGGGGTGTTACTTGCCTCCGTCACGCTGATGCGTATATATTCTTACATGTGTCAACCGCTTCACAGATGGCCACAAGCAATTCCCGTAACAGACTGCCCAGCTGAGACTGTTATCCGGAATTTCTTGGACCGGTGGGTTTCGCACTACGGATGCCCATGCACCAGTACAACTGACCGAGGAACGCATTTTGAATCTTCACAATACGATACGTTCTGCAACTTTTAGGTTGTCGCCGCATTCATACCACAGCGTATCACCCAGAAGCCAATGGGTTAGTTGAACACTTCCACAGACAGCTTGAAGCCTCGCTCTGTGCCTCCTCCGACCCTAGCTAGAGCGAAAACGCTTCGCTCGTACTCTTAGGCATTCGCAGCAGCATCAAAGACAACTTGCCATGTGCACCAGCAGAGTTGGTTTACGGTACAACGCTAAAGTTGCCAGGAGAATTCGTTTCATCTCCCGCATCGTCAGGTACGCCTCCTCCTAAGTTTGCGTCCTCCCTAGCCCAACGAATACGTTCACTACGCCCTACTCCGCCCCTTGAGCAGACTAGAGATGTGCAAATGCACAGCGGACTCTCTAGCTGCACTCACGTCTTTCTCCCCACCGACGCAGTGCTGCGTCCTCTTTAGCCTCTCTACACTGGTTCTTTCAGAGTTCTGCAACGGACTCCGAAACATTATACCTTAGACCAGGATGGTCACCGAACCACGGTACCATGGACCGCCTCAAATTAGCTTACTTTGACCAACCACGTGCCATTTATGCTGATGCTATCACACAAGCACCCGCAACTGTGGTGACTTCTCGAGCACTGGATATCCTGAAACCCTCCGTTCCCCTTGACCCTCAACCTACACCGCCTCAACCCCAGGCAACCGAACGACGCGGTAGACAGCTCAAACATACGGCCCGTTTTTTAGATTTCGTGAACGTTTGTTATTTCCATTAACAGGCAAAATTTGTCTTTAGTGGTTATCATGAGCCTTGTTCACAAACTTTTTGCAAAATCGACAAAAATCCAGAAATTTAAAACAGTTAGTCCCCTTCAGTAGTTTGAACAACGAAATGAGAAGACGAATATTGGCAGATGCTAGCATTTCGTATTATCTCGTCAGTACCAATACAATAACAGGGAAATCCTTTTATATGTCTTACAGGGCACAGTCAAACCAATCAAATTTATTGTTGTGGTCATTGTTATCAGATTAGGTCCACGGCAACCGCAGGTTGACAACTAATTGCTTTTAGACACAAAAAGGTGGTCTAATTCGGCTTATCGCGACGGCCTCGGCAAATCGTAAAAGGCGTGCATTAGTATGACGTAACAAGATCCGGAAAGCTGATAAGGGATTGACCTGGTGACGAGTCGCCAAGATGTGCCTGCCTATGAGGACGCTGGTGGCTTACGCGAACACGTATCATCGGAGGTGGATTGGGTAACTTCGCGCTGAACCCAGTTTGGTAGGTGTTCCTTCACTCGTGAATCTAAAACCCGTTCGGTCCTGCCGATGTAACTGATACCGCAGTCACACACGAATTGGTAGACACAATGGGATTTGGCGCCGACGGCTTCATCTTCCTTTACTGAAGGTAACGGCAACTTTCGGGTTCTGTTGATAATTACCGCCTCCGCAGCACAGTATGTACGCTGAATGGCCGAGACAATCCGTTTGGTTATCCTTTTCGTTGCAGTGTCACCCTTGAATGGGAGCTCAATGTACACCTTCTTCTTAGGGGCTGTCAACACCATCTCCTTGGGCGGTCTAACTTGGCTATGTTTGTCTATGAATCGCTTTGGGTAGCCATTCTCCATGAGTGTCTTAGTGATCAGCTCTAACTCTTCAGCCAGGCAGTCGTTGGAGCAGATACGTCTGGCCCGAGTGAATGATGTTTTTACTAGTGCGCGCTTGTGTGCCATCGGTGAGAAGCTAGTGAAGTGTAGATATTGGCGGGACCACGTTGGCTTGCTGTATACAGATCGCTTAATCAGCCCATTATCCCTGCGACTCATGAGAATGTCGAGGTACGGAAGGCGCCCATTCGATTCGAATTCAAAAGTCACATTCAGGTTGGCGTGAACATTATTAAGTTGATCTACTAGTTGTTCGATTTGCATCTTTGTGGAATCGAAAACAAGGATATCATCCACATATAGTTGGTTATACGGCAGCTGAGAAATCTGTCCACTTAGTTTCCTCTCAAGTATCAGCATGAAAAAATCAGCCAGTACCGGTCCCAACGGACTACACATAGCTACTCCGTCAATTTGGTGATACGTGTTGTGGTCGAATCGGAAAGCGACATTCTCCGTGCAAAGTAACAGGGACTGTCTCAGGAGGTCTGTCGGTATTGGTAGACGAAAATTCTCCTCTTCTATCAGGTGGCAAATGTAATCAACTGTCTCAAGCAACGGGACATTAGTAAATAACGATTGGACGTCCACTGAGCACATAACCTTGTCGGCTAGGCTGATTTGGTCTAGGTCTTCGATTATTTCAAAAGAGTGCTTAATGCTGTGCAAATTGTAGTGCTGCCTTAGTGGTGCAAGGATCCGAACTAACCAACGAGCCAATTTGTGCTGCGGGGAATTTACCATGGACAAAATAGGTCTTAGTGGCATGCCCTGCTTGTGAGTTTTTGGTAACCCGTATAGCTGTGGTGTCGAGGAACCGCTCGGCTTACCATTTGCCGAGGCCGTCGCGATAAGCCGAATTAGACCACCTTTTTGTGTCCAAAAGCAATTAGTTGTCAACCTGCGGTTGCCGTGGACTTAATCTGATAACAATGACCACGACAATAAATTTGATTGGTTTGACTGTGCCCTGTAAGACATATAAAAGGATTTCCCTGTTATTGTATTGGTACTGACGAGATAATACGAAATGCTAGCATCTGCCAACATTCGTCTTCTCATTTCCTTGTTCAAAAACCCAGAACATTTTGAAAATCTAAGACGGGTATTTGCTTTTATCATGCATGTCATGTTTCCCTCCCGTGTCAAGCTACTTCCACCGACCCTTCTCCACCCCCTCCGAGTTCGAGCCTCCAGAAACTTAACCGCCGGAACTGCCAAGGCAACCCTCGGTTGACTCGCCTACCGGCTCAACGTCACCCCCGAGTGACTCACCAGCCGACCCATGACCCTCTTCCAGTCCGAAGTATCAGTCAGTCGCCCTCGGCTGCAGACAGCCACGCACGGGTTGGTCCCCAAAGACCTGACCAGGCGTTGACGGCGAGGACGCCGGATTTCTTCGTGGGTCGTGGACGCCCGGATTTCTTCGTTAGACGAGGAGGCATGGATTTTTTCGTGGAACGAGGACCGTGGACTGGAGTGCGGTTGGGAAGGGGTGACACCTCCCGACCGCACCGTCGGATCTGCAGCAAAGGGAAGCTCCTGCCTGCTATTATTCTTTACCAGCCAATTTATTTTTGCAGTCCGATCAGCCCTCCCCGACGACCCACCGATAATGCACTCTGGTCCACACGATCATCATAAATAATACCTAACAAAAATCTGGATTCAGTTAACTCTGCTAAGCACCCCACTTTGGAAGCCCTTCCTCAATCCCATGCAATTACTCGCCCCCATCCTCACCTTCCATTATCCCCACTAACAGCTCCATCGAAGGCTTCCATCCTTCAGCCTTCTAGGGTAGGCCCTTGTAGTGTATCGGAAAATACGCTCTTTCAGTATTTTTCAACATTGGATGTTACTGTTGTTTTAACCTTCGAAACCTCCAGTAATTTTACTGACTGCACATC